AAAAAAATAAAAATTTTGTGAAGATCAGGACAATTTACAATATACTTTGAGAACCATCATAAAGTATTGGTAAATTTTATTCCCTGTCCTGAAATTCCATTATTCATACTGAATCCTAGATCTTTGTGTCCACATGGGATTCTTATTCATAGCTACTTTAGAAATTATATTTAAAAATTTTACCATTTAGCTTATTATGAGGAATCTGTTCTCTTATCTATAATGAAAGACTTCTATATTATAATACACAGATAGCCTGTACTATAGTCTTTGAGAGATGGCAGTATATTAAGGCCCTGGGTGGTACAAACAGTTTATGCTCACTGCTAACCACAAGTTAAAACCTAGCTAGCGGCGAGCTCTGGTGGCCTAGTGGCAAGAAGCTGCAACTACAGTCTCAGAGGTGCACGGTTCAGATCCACCAGATGCTCTGCTGGAGAAGGAGGAACAATCTCCTCCTGTACCAGTCAGATCTGATTTTATGGTACACACAAAACATAATGCAATAAAATAAACTTTAAAACCTAGCTAGCAAGGACATAGATGAAAATCTTGGCGATATACTTTCATAAAGATGACAGACAAGAAAATTTGTGCAGCTGAATTCTGCTTTATAACACCTGGGTTCACCATGAGTGGATAAATCTTATTGACAACAGGTTTATAGTGTGGACATTAGTTTGGTGCTGGGAATGGGAAGATAGCAATCTTTCCAAGAATAAGGATTCTCTGTAGAGAGAGAGGCAAGTAACAAGACACTTTTCTGTTTTGGAGCTCCTAATGGATTTAGATCAACTGCCTTTTAGTTGGCAGCACAACTCATTACCCAATAAGCCCCCAGAACTCCCTCCAGGCAAATAAAAACAATTTTTTATGCTAGGATGGCCACTAACATTTTATTAGGTGAATTAACTAAGGCATCTCATGAAACCATGACCATAAATGTCCAAACCAAAGGACCTAATTCTATGAGGTGTTTGGTTGCACATATGCAACTTTTGCACTATTCTTTTTGTTGTTTTTAGAAATTCTACTCACTCATTGTATTTTGTAGGATCTGTAAATAATATATTGGATCCTATACAAGCTATAGAGGAACTGTGAAGACATAAAGACCTCACATAATACTGAAAACAAAACAAAAACCCTCCAAGCCCACTCTTATTGAGATAATTCCAACTCATTGTAAGTTTGTAGGAGAGAACAGATCTGCCCAGAGGGTTTCAAAGGTGGTAATTTTTTTTGTTTTTTTCAAAGGTTGTAACTTTTTACAGAAGCATTTTTCCTTGCCTTTGTTCTATGTTTGCTCTGCTGAATTTTTGGTTAGCAGCTGACCACCACTATTCCTCCATACTTTACAGAATTTTACGTCTATTTTGAAGGCATTGAAGAGTGAATTGAAAATTTTTAACTTTAAAAGATTATTTGAGGAGTTTATTGAAGAATGGTTAAGATTGCATTTCTGAAGGCCTTTGCCTGAGTTTTAATTTTAGTTTTCTATCTGCTAAAAATGTGACTTTGAGGAAACGTTGACTCCTTTATGCATGAATTCTGTTCTGTAAAGTGGAGGCAATATTAATATCTATCTCACAGGATTGTTAAATAATATGATAAACTTAAAGAATGTGTCTGTAGTACCTGATACTGATGCTAAGTAAATATTAGTTCCTCTTGCTGATACTTGGAAATCAAATGAAAAAAGAAACTAGTTGAAGGCAATTCTATTAACTCAGGTGTGAAACGATGGGTTTTTGAACCAAGTTCTTAATTAGGAGAATAAACACAATTTTATGATTAACTGAGAATAGGGAGGTAGAAAGAAGATTCAAAGTGGTTGCTAACTTTCTGACTTAAGCACTTACTGGACAGTGGTGCCATTTGTAGAGACAGAAAAGGTTGGAAGGAGAACTATTTTAAGTTTGACTTTTAATTTCTGAACTCTCCATTTTATGTCCTCCTCTCTAACAACTTGATGGTGTTCATTGCCCATGTGTGCTATTTAGCGGGGGTGGGCTTTTGCAGGCTGTTCTGGAAACTCCACCCTTTCCAATTTCCAAAAGAAGCAAGGGAAGAAATATAGAAGGGCTTCCAGGTCTCACATTTAAACATCTAATTATCATTCCTTTGCTTTGTAGGTCTTTTATGCTCACAGCCACAAATGTGGACCTGTGGGTTATTCTGTGTCCGGGACCTTATGTTGGTGGAGACCTAGACCTTGGCGGTTTGCCCAGGTTAGTTGTGCTATAAGGGCACTGACTATGGCGTCACATAGGCTGCAGCACCTTCAAATACTAGTTAGAAAAAAGGGTTTTGCTTTGCTTTCTATGTGCATTCCCCCAGCCCCGCTCCACCAACTCACATGGAAAATGAAATATAAATTATCAGAAATTATATAGCATTTCTTTTTATCCGCTTCAATCTCTGTAGTGCAGATGAGGTAGAGAAAATAAAGATTATTTAAATAAACTAACGGCTACCACTTTAGCAATGATATCTTAGTAAGTTCTGATTGTTGGATAAGTAACAATAAGTCAAATTGATAGTCTCCTTTTAAAAAGATTAAAAAATAAAATGAAACTTTCAAACAACTTTATAAAAAAATCTCATTCTAAGCTAAGGGACTAGGAAATTTATTTTAATATCTATTTCTTTAAAAATTTTTTTTACAACATATCCTTCCCATTTAATTTTCCCCCCATTCATTCATTGTTGCACATTTTCCTCCCTGCCCACCCCTCACCCCAGTTCATTTTCTCTTTGAAAAAAAAATTCTTTCACTGTTATACAATCTCCCCCTACCCCAAGTCCACAGTTCACTTTATTATGCATTTCTTTTTCTGGAATCTTGTCATGAAAATAATACCTAATTATATATTCCTTTTAAACA